TGACTCAGAGGTCTGCAAACTGTTATTAGCGACACATCTGTATTGTCCTGCATCTGACCGTTGAACATCTGTTATTTTCAAAGTGTGATTTCCGTCCCTGGAAGAGACACTTAATTGTGAATTTGCTGTTACATTCAATTCGACTCCATTCTTTGTCCAAGCAACAGTAGGTGTGGGGTATCCAGCCACCAAGCATCTTAATACAACGGTTTGTCCTTCTATTTTCGTGACATTAATCGGAGGTTCGGAGATTTCAGGCCCAACTGATATATAAAAGAGAGCATAACAAAATGAATAAATAAACACATAAGAATTGCAAGTCACTGCAATATCAACCTATTTCGCGAAATATTGCAACACTTGTGACTAAAAAAACAATTTTTTTTAGAAAAACATTTCGCCTCGTTAAATGAACCTATCAAATTCTTGTGGAGACTAGCTCCTTTTCCGATACGAATAATAATAAAAAAAAAAAATCGAAAGAGGATGGTCAGCATCAAAACAAATGTTTACAATGGAATTCAAAAGCACCTAAGCAATTATACTAAAACAATGAATATTGGCCTTCGGTATAATTGTTAATTATGGTTTAGAGCATGCATGTCCTTGTGGGAATGGAATGATTTTGTGTTCAAGTAGTTTTATCGAGTACCTCAAGTTTTTCCTTCAATTTTCGCACATCTTGAAAGTTCTACTTTCATTTCAATTCTTCTTATTTCGGTTCCTTTATTTATATGAGTATTATATAGTTTTCTTTTTATTCAAACCAGATTACAGCCGGTATTCAAAATTGGAGGTTTCAGGAATAAAAACCTTTGGAATGAACATGTCGACTCCAACCTTTATTCAAAACCCTTCCTTTACTTTTTTTGTAAAATCCATGCATCGCATATTAATTTTGAGTTTTATCACGCGTCACATAAACCCGCGCTCCCATCTGTGATCTCAATGAAAACCTATTCACCTGCCGGTGTGTATGTCCGTGGCACATAACTTACAGATTTTTTGGCAAGGAAAAGACTCGACTACGCCTCGTGTTTCCCCCTACACTTCTTTCGTGCTCTAACCGCTTCCTGCGTGCCGTATAACAGAACAGAGCACAGTCGAGGCTATTTCGTTTATTAAATATCAACACAAAGTGACATATTTGTGTTTTCACTCATGCTAAGATGATGAAATATTGAAACAAATTTAAAATTCACTTAAACAACCATTCAACCGAGCACCTGTTGTTATTGTTGTTGTTTTTTTTATGAAGAAATTTTGAATATGGAAGCAATCTTCGTAGCAATGCACACTACTTGAGCGGTAGTGAAAATAAAGTCTGAAAGTAGTGTGCATTGCTGCAAAGTTCGCTTCCATATTCATCTATTTATCCGCAGTTCACATAGATGATTTTCACATAATTTTATAATCAGAGAAATTTTATAAGTTACTTACATTGTACTTTTAGATTCCCTGGAGATGATGTTAGATTGCCAACATCATTAATAATCACACATCTGTATTGTCCCGAATCCGATCGATGAACATCTGTGATTGTCAAACTGTGATTGTTGTTCAGTGACGACGCTGTTAGTCGTGGATTTGTTGTGATGTTCAGTTTTTCCTCGTTCTTCGTCCAAGTGACTCTTGGTGAAGGATTTCCATCTGCCACGCAACTAAACACAACATATTCTCCCTCAACAATGGTGGCATCCTTTGGATTTTCCACGATTTCAGGTGCAACTTGGAATTTAAAAAACACAACTGTTATACTCCTTAACTCAAATCAGTGAATTTCAAAAGCTACAGGATCATTCCTTAGCATATCTCAAAGTCCTCGTCATTTTTTTGTTTTTGTTTTTTAGATTTGTCAAAACATAGATTTTTACTGATGTAAAAGACTATAGCGTTATTTTAATTCTTCTTCTTCTTCTTCTTTTTTTTTTGTTTCATGCTCATCGATACGTGTGTATTTCATATTCTAACTAAAGATAATTTAGAAAAGAATGTTTTGTAATTTCATCTGTGATAATGAGCGATCTTTAACGAAAAATTCTAACATCTCCTCTTCCGTCCTTGTCGACATTCATGAAGCTGACAAGGTAGATGGCACCATAATCTACCGAAAATTACCCAAATACAGGATCAAATGAGATTTCTTGAAGGGGGAAAAAGTACTTAGCAGAGAACTGAAATAGCAAGCCAGATATTTGTTTGTGAATACTGTGCGCGTGCATTCAACTTTCGGTCCTGAACAACTCTTTGCAACATATTTGTGAAAACTCAAAACATGAAGATAAATATTGAATTCAGTTCTCGAAAGTAAACGTTTCTGTTAAAAACATGCCTGATTTATATTTGACATTAACTCAGTCTAAGATTTGAATGATGGTTCCCAAGGTTGTTGCTTCCAACTCTTCAGAAATTCTCCTTCGAAATAAGGCAAAGTTAAAAAGGAATTGATGGAGCACTTACACTGTACGTCGACTTTTGCAGCATTTGAGGTATCATCTCCAAGGCTGTTCCTGGTAACACATCTGTAATTTCCACTTTCTGATCTGTTAATATTCGCTATAGACAGTGTCTCATTGTCTCCTGTGAAAATTATCCCTTGGTTGTTATTTATAGGAGATCCATCTTTGGTCCATGATAGTGTTGGTGGTGGATTTCCGGTCGCGTTACAAAATAAGGTCATGGGGAGTCCTTCATCTATTGTAAAGTTCTTAGGATGCGTAATAATTTCAGGCTGATCTGAAAAAAAAAATTGATAGCGA